ATTCTGTGATGACCGATCCAGTGGAATTGTTTGGTTTGTTTGCAGCGGAGTTTGACCGGCGGGTACGGTTAGGGTGTATAGCCAATAAGCATGACGACTACGATGGACAAAGCCTTTAATCCTGACAAGAACCTAATCGCATAGGAGCAGGTAAAGCGAATATGGGGAACATTTATTTGGATCTATTATTCCTTCCTTATTTTTTCATCGACTGTGAAACCTCAGCCTGAACGGTCAGGAGACTGGACCCTATCGGACCGCTATCCTCCGATCTTTCAGTTTGAAAAAGGCGATCCTGTGTAGCCTCCTATGTAACAGAGATACCCAAGGCATCACACCACATCAAGGTACAGACTCATCGTGATAGCTGATCTAGATCATTTGTCATTGCTTTGCTGCCAAAGCAGTTTAACCTCAACTTATCACGGGTGGGATGGGATGGCATCACGGATACAAGGATCTCACGTTACTTGGTTACGCATTTCTCAGAAATCATGCTCGCTGTCCAGTATGGTTCAGAGACCGCAAGTCCTGGGTGCAGTCTTCACTAATAAAATTAGCGGTTAAAAACGGCGGAGAAAATTGAGCTTATGGCACGACCGAACGTTCGGAACCGTGCAAGAAACCCACTCAACAATACTCATTCCATCAACTCCAATCCACACACCACTTAACCGCCTTGTGAGTCAGGCTCTGGATAGCAAACGGCTCGATTTTGAGCCTGATTTTGGACTTGAATACTGGCCGTATTCGTATCACGAGCAAATTGTAGACTGGGTTTCCGGTTATGACGGTTATTGTACCGTGGTTTGTTCAGCTCCCACCTCGGACTAAGGTGTCGAAACTAAACCGTAACTGGAACTAATGGTCTCCTAACCTGGTTATAAGTTGACTATATGATGAACAAAGCAATTATTCTCCATGACTAACGAGAATGGTCACCGGGCTCATTCAGTTCAAATCGGAGTTTAACACGCGAATAGCGAAAAAGAACATGCTAGGGCAGAAAGTGACTTATTCTATCACTCTAAGTCGAACATCGAAAATACCATCGAGCAATGAGTAGTGGAAGACGATCCACTAATTGAGGTCAGAACATTTACTGATGAGTACCGAAATGGCTATTCAAAAGAGTAATTACTCAACGGGCAAATTTAGGGCTCTAAATGTGTACTACACTATACTTACCGTCGATGTTTACAGCGATCTCGGCTTGAATGTCGCTTACGTGATGAACTGTCACTACAGGGTTGGTTTTCCGCACTGGTCAACCGTACACTAGATGTCTCAGCATTATTGGATTCGTTAGGTAAGCTGACTGTCACTTCAGTTGACGTTTTCTGCAAAAAACGATTCAAGGGGGGGGGGGAATCAGTCAGGTTTTCGTCTTGAATTTCTACTAGATTCTACTGTTTCATATGCACCTTAAACACAATGTTGCCATTTTAAAAACAAGTAAAATTGATAACTTTACTTCATCGTGACAAGCCCCTGTGTGCTATTTGGAGCAGTTACAAGTTCGACGTTGAGCAAGCAGGTAGATACAAAATGCAAGTGGAATGTTATTCAAATGAACGCTAAGTACGAGATGAAACCACTTCATAACGACTACATAAAGATATGCCTCAATAGCACAAGGATTGTGATAGGTACTTGGAATCTACGGAACACTTAGCTACCTGACGGTAGATGAAATATGCACACGACATTCCACATTTAACTACGGAATTATTGCTCCGTTATAGGAATCAATGGTTCGGAGCATACAACTAGGGATGGCGGACCATCGATAGCCACAAAAAGATAAGCGGTATTTAAGCGTGCAAGGTCGATGCTGCTTGTAACTATTTGACTTAGAATCATATTATGATAGTATAGTATTACATTACATTTTGATCACCAGTGCTTACGCTCTAAAATGATATGGGAGAATAACTGCCCAATGTAGAGCCATTAGACTACTGAAGAACTTGATTATGATTGAGATAATCGAATTCCATTCTCACCTTGACCCAACATATCAAACAGTAGTTTTGATTCCGATACATACTAACTGAAATTGCTTAGGATAGAAATAAGCACTAATCTCATAGCATTAGTCATGGTTTCGCAATAAGATCATTTCAATGAGCTCACACAGCACTGCTCGCGGAATGTTACCCCAATGGTACTTTGTAAACATTCTCGGACTCGTGCTCCAGATTAAAGACCGACATATGGTCTCGTGACATTTGGAGCACACCAAAAACCGTTTACAACTGAATTCATCGGTGATAACGATCAACAGGATCTCGTGAAAAAGATGCTTCATGTTCATGCTAATACAGTTTAATGATTTCAAATATGTAGGCTTACCTCCTCCGTCACGAGTGGAAATCGAAACTAAGACGAAAAACTTGGAACCCGGGTACGGTGCCTCCCTTGCTCCGAGACCGCATTATTTATTTCTTCGGGTTCGTCTTCGTGTTCACATCCGAATCTAGTGAAGGAAGTATGTGTAGCGCTGATGTATGTTAGCACTGATTGCGATCCGACCGATTTTTGATGGGCTTATCGGCTTTCGTTCAACAACTCTTTCCTAGTGCTCACCTTGTCGTGAAACTGAATTACCGAGGAAATATGCAGCCTGTATCAGTGAACGCATGAAAGCAGACAGACCGTTGACCTTCGTAAATCTGGTCTATGACGCAAGACCTTACCGGTGTCAAAAATCAGGTTTCTGCTCGTGAGAATAGCATAAGTTGCCACAGAAACGCCCCCGTCGGAGCGCTACAAACCAACAATGTATTCCAGCAAAAACTCGTCTAAAAGCATTTGGTCCCTCAGTCAGTTATCAAACCTCATAATAGGATAGAATGAGTGTTGACTGACCAAGGTGCTAACGACTGCATGCGCGTGATCACAGGGTTTTCTTCGAGTCAACTGCCTGGAACGCGAATGCACTGCCTAGCAATCTTGACGAAACCGCTGCAATCGGCTGGATCAATTACTTATATGGTTGCAGATTATGAAACCTCAATTTTTACTTTGAATAAGATTGATACTATACCAGGTTGTTGTAGATCTGATGATCATTCGATAACCAGCAAACCAACGAATTTCCGGCTTGCCAGTGGACTAGACCGTACTGACTTCTAAAACAGTGCTACCACAATATGAAGAAACTGCTCATGCAGTAGCCCTATGGAAAGTGATATACATCCGAAGCCTACATGAGAGCAAACTTGTTGCTGTTCTTTACCGCAGCTCAAGTCAATCACGTTAACGAAGCAGTGCATTTGAGGGTGTCTAGCCATGAAAGTACAAGCCAAAGAAACAACCCACCTTCGTTCAACCCATCAAAACCAATGAAAGTAATTTGTGATAACTGTATCGACTGAAGCATGCCCTGAACCGCTTTATTGGAAGCAATATTGACGTCTAACAAATAAACCAGTTGCCAAGTTTTCACGGATAGCTTGTCAGCATCCTTATCTTAATTGAGTTTTTGCAACCAATAACCATGCACTTCAGTAAGGCAGCTGTTTACCGACACGAAACTGCACCTAGACGAGGTTTGGTGGCTTGGGTGACTTCACCACCTTGTGAGCTAAACGAGATGGCTCCTTACAGCCGAGGATCCAGTTGTCTGAAAGGTCAATGGGTAGAGGCCAGGTAAAGCTACCTCACAGAGACAACTGACTCGGTAAAAGGCCACCCGGTTGCCCCTGAGGTTACTCCAGAAAATAAACTCGGGTAGCAGCAGTTTGCCGGTTAATAAACCTGTTATATGGACGTAGGAGTGGAATACTTGTGGCTCCCTCTCGGTGGTCTTCGTAGTTAACTAGACAGCTGCCACCCTATACCATTCCCGTTCACGTTTAGTCTACTTCACTGGGTGTATAAACCTGAACAGCGGATCAATGCATTTGTATTACACTCCTAAGTATGACGTACAGTAAACGGGGTAAACCTCAGTCACGAGGACCTGCTGCTCAACAGTGGTAACCGGAAACCCGCGTTGAGACTAGGAGTCGCGAACCGCTCAAGGTCCCACTAGATTTGGTGCAGCATTGAACCGGACAGCAAAGTTGTCTACCACTAGATTTGGGTGGCAGTGCGCTGTTCGAAACCCAAACCATAGGAGACAAAGCACGCCGGATACGGCGAATTAAAAAGTACGCCACCACCACCATCTGTGAGCACTACTGACAGCAGACTCAGACCGTGTAACAAAAATATGGAAGCACGGACACGTGTGCTTCGGTCAAGCCATCACATTGGATTTACGATCCTTGCGGGTCGGAGACTACAGTCCCTAAGAATAGCCCACAAGTTATCGACGCCTTAGAATCGTCCGGGGTGTAAACACAGCAATAGGAATGGAAGAATTGGCAAATTCACCAAGCGGCGTGCAATTTTACCAACTTCCTTCAATTGTCAAGGTAGAAATTCGTCACCCTAAATTTATCCCGGTTTCTGAAAGGAACCCTGCACTTATCGCCTTGAGAGCTGACTGAATACCTGCCAGTTCATTATCAGTAGATCACCTCAAGTGAAACGGGTGGTGGTGGTAGTACAGTGGTGCAGTCGTCATCATCGGCGTTCTTTTTTATTACACACCTAGGTGTGGTGAACAGCAGACGGGGCGGATCCCATAGGCACGAGGACCTGCTGTTCGGTGATTGAAATGGGCAACCTAAGCCCCGGGACTTGGAGTGGGAAACCGCATAAGGCCCCGATAGGTTACGCGTGGTATTGAACCGGATGACTGCAGAGCTACCTACCACCAAAGTCGGGTGGTCCAAGTTTCGAGCCCCGCCATCGCCACCCAACATCGGTGGTAGGCAACCAAGCTGTCGTCCTATTCAATATCACGCCTAACCTAGCGGGATCTCATGTGGTTCGTCACTCCAAGTGCCGGGGCTTAGGTTGCCGGTTTCCATCACTATACAGTATTTTCGTATGCCTGTCCATCGACTACCCTTCTGTGCTCTCTCCGCACGTGCCGGGCAAGGCTGGAAGAAGCATCGCGGTGGTCAAACCAAGGCATGGCGTAGAGGTATGAAGCTGGCTTCAGCTTTGGTTTCGGTTGGTGCGGCCCGCCTTCCAGGCTGGGGCCCAAGGGATGAAGATTGCATTTGGTTAGAGACGCTGAGATATATGGCCCGGAAGAGAAGTCAGTGGCGCGAATGCTTAACGGTCTGCCTGTCGAAAACTCATCCCGTAAAAAACAAACGCAAAAAAAATCAAAAATTGCAAGGTGAAACATAAAATGTTATCCCAGTTGTCTACCATTTTCCCGTTTNAGCAAATAATGGACGCGATGAATAAATCACAGGCGAAGTCAAGAGTGAACTTAACTCATCCATTCTGGAAAACCTTTCAGTGAATGTTACCCTAATGGACAGTTAACTGGGATCGGAGCCTAGGAGACGAAACCTAATTCACCTCGTTGGAAGGGTTAGCAAACGTCCTTAATTTTAGATTTGCTGATATCATCTTCGCCAAGGACAAGAGACTGGTGGATGCTTAGGGGGAAGCGCAGGATTGTATGGCTGCGAGTGCCGTTACGAGTGGCATGGGTGCCTAAATTAAACCGTAATGAAATGAAAGGTCCCAGGGAAACATATTGAGTAACTGGAAGTCTACAGTATGTCCGAGTGCAATCTGAGAATAAGTAGCTATGAAACGCACTGAAACGTCCTTTATTGTAAAGAAACCCAAATCCATCATTTATCCGTTACGGCACGCATTCATAGCCCTGTACCTAAAAGATGACAAAAATTGATTGAGTCACCTTGATTGCACGGCTACCACGTTCAAGACCTTCCTCCTCGTAGCACTAGCCAAAACTATTGAACTTATGAAAGCGTCTTACACTCGGATGAAATACAGCTGTTCGCCCGATGTACCGGAGCGAAATGAGCTTCAGTACATGCGTAAAAATGGCAGACACGGGTTGACATTCATGAAGGCTGGTTAACCACGGAAATTGAAAACCCCAATCCAAGCTGGAGGGACAAGGAACTCATAGGTGTTGGATGAAGTTCGAAATATGGAGCGATACAGACGGGCGACATCCTGTAGGGGAGTCCCTTCAACCGTCGACTAAACATGAACTGAGTAAGCCGACAAAGCTAAAAACCAGTAACTTTAAAGCAAAAGCTGCAACAGTCAACAAAAAGGAATAAGTAGACTGTCTTCATTCATAGGAAACAACGGCTTACCATATAGTAAGCCGTTGATCATATTTGACCAATCACACAACGCAAGAAAAGTTAAAAGCATAATCCGGTTTTCTTACCTCTAAACGAGGCCGACGATTGATACTATCAGAACTTGTTGAGGAACCACCGTCTGAGGACTATCAGACATTTGGTTAGTTCAGAATGATCAATCGACACTCACCACAGAAGAGTCGTAGTCACATATCATGGCGGATCGAAACGACCTTTGACACTACGGACCCGGAAAAACAAGATCAGTTCAGTTCAGTTCGGTTCCAGGACGTTGACGGCGGTGTGCCAGTTAGTCCAGTTTCTTGCAAAGGTGGGCTCCAGGGATCCCCCGATGCTACGACGGATGGAATTCTTCTTCAATTTTGCGATCA